TCTCACCTGGCTGCTGTGTGCAAACCAAATGCTAACATTTCATTTTCATTGTGCACTATATACTTTGCTACATTTATATTGCTAAACACATACAGTTAAGGTCAGAATTATTCTCCCTCCTGTGGTTTTCTTTTTCAAATATTTCCCAAATGATGTTAAACAGACTCAGGAATTTTTTCACAGTATTTCCTATAATATTTTTTCTTCTGGAGAAAGTCTTATTTGTTTTATTTCGGCTAGAATAAAAAGCAGTTCTTAATTTTTTTAAACCCAATTTAAGGTCAATATTATTAGCTGCCTTGAGCAATATTTGTTTTGGATTGTCTACAGAACAAACCACTGATATACGAAGCCTTTAAATGCCACTTGAAGCTGAATACTAGTGTCTTAAACAAATATCTAGTCAAATACTATATGCTGTCATCCTGGCAAAAGTAAAAGAAATCAGTAATTAGAAATGAATTATTAAAACTATTAATAACTACAAGGGGGCTAATAATTCTGACTCCTGACTACATATTAGTATTTACAAGTAAGGGGAAGCTGCAGGCCCGGAGACCCAACTACTCGCTCAGACCTGCGTTTTCAGACCGTTTTCTCAGACAGTGCCACCTGCTGTTGGGCCGGTTGAAGCGGCAGGTACGGAGACCCAACTGCAAGCAAGTAGCAACATCAGACACGCCAGTATAAGGTTATTGATTATTAAAGAGAATCCTGAAAATGAGAAGGTTTTATGGCATAAATCAATTTGGTGTAAAATATTACACTAACAAACAATTATTTCAGTGTTTGATTTGATCAAAATTGGTGCCCAAAGATGGAATTATTTTATGATATTTACAGCTTGCTTTTATTTTCGGTGTTATTGTACCATTCTGGGACACTTCTCTAGCAATGTTTTCTGGCAAAAAAAAAAAAAAAAACGTTAACGTAAAAATGTTAAAATAAAATGTTTAATATATAACGCAATTATCATTTGAAAGATATTTTAGTGCTGTAGGTCTACAGTACATCTGCATTATCTATCTGAGAGTGCTACCAAAGACAGTAACAGTAACACAATAACAGTTTATCAATTATTAATAAGTTCTGTAATGATTACAAGTAAGTTTTTTTGGAAATATCTGCATTAGGGTTGGGAAGATAGACGATGCCATCGCCAATAGACAACACAATGCTGAGCCGGCATCGCCATCTATCGCCCCGCCCAGGGCTCCAGGCAGACAGCAGTGCATTTGGGAGAGTTTATAAGCATGTACCCCTGGATCGCGTCTCATTAAAGTTGTTAAACGTGATATTCAGACATCCCAAGAAGCTTTGACTCATTATGCAAACAGCAGGTGGCACTGTGAAGGTCTGGAAGTGCAGGTGTAGCCGTCTGAGTGTGCAGGTCTGAGCGTGCGGTTGGGTCTCCAGGCCTGCAGCTTCATAATGTTGGTATTTACAGGTATGACATTTAAATTTGAGCTTTTAAGTAGCCTGCTTAACCTTATTATTGAAAACACAGGTTTGTTGATTAAGTAAAAAATGTCATTTTCTGCTCGACCAATTATAGTGTGATTTGTTTGCAAGAGCACGTCCCATGAGAAGGGCTCATAAAAGCACCTTAATAGACACAATTAAAATGAATGTTTTATCCAAACAAGCACAGTTTACCTATGACTGTGCATTTAGCTGTGTGAAATCACTAGAGGCGTGGGTTTTGAAGGTCATGTCTCTGATTTGTAGTTAATAATATACAGTAAAAACACAAACACTTGTACAACTATCTTTATGGGGACTTCCCATCCTGACATAAAGAAGCTACTGTGTCTTTTATTCAAAGTACACACACACATATGTATATAGGGGTCGTCACAGTGGCGCAGTGGGTAGCACGATCACCTCACAGCAAGAAGGTCGCTGGTTCGGCTGGGTCAGTTGGCATTTCTGTGTGGAGTTTGCATATTCTCCCCGTGTTGGTGTGGGTTTACTCCGGGTGCTCTGATTTCCCCCACAAGTCCAAAGACGTGGTATAGGTGAATTTGATAAGCTAAACTGTCCATAGTGTGTGTGTGTGTGTGTGTGTGTGCGTGTGTGTGTGTGTGTGTGTGTGTGTGTGTGTGTGTGTGTGTGTGTGTGTGTGTGTGTGTGTGTGTGTGTGTGTGAATGAGTGGGTATGAATGTTTCCAAGTGATGGGTTGCAGCTAGAAGGCCATCTGCAGTGTAGAACATATGCTGGATAAGTTGGCGATTCATTTCGCTGTGGAGACCACTGATGAATAAATGAACTAAGCCAAAAAGAAAATGTATGAATATATATATATATATATATATATATATATATATATATATATATATATATATATATATATATATATATATATATATATATATATTGGCGTAAGTGAAAATACATGGTTTATCATTTATTTCTTATTCAATTTGCCTAAAAAATCAGCTATTTATTTTTACTTTTGATTAATATTAAATAATGTGAGGGAAGTTTAAACTTTAGCCTAAGCAAATTAAAGATTTTTTTTAATCCAAATCAAAATAAAAAAAATTATAATAATTATAATTATTAAAAAATAATTAGTGTCTTAATAGTAAACAATATTTTTACTTTGCATAAATGTAGTTTTTTCTTGACCACAGTAAATATAATAATAAATTTTAAAGATTGACACAAATTATAATACTTTAAAGAAAAACTAAAAATTTTTGCTGTAACAAATTACAGCAATTTTTTACAATATCATTTTTTTAAAGACCTAATAATTTTTATACTGTACAGACTGTATATTCTCTACCCCAACCTAACCAGGAAAAAATCTGCATTTTATATTTTTGATGTCATTCTGATGTGATTTATGAGCCGTTTTTCTCATTGGGACAAAAAAAAAATCTACACAATTCAAAATTTACTGATATTGTTATACGTGTGGGGACATTTGGTCCCATAATGTAATCCTCACACACACACACACACACACACACACACACACACACACACACACGCACGTGTTGCTGTATGTCCATCACAGATCTCTTCATTTTTTTGTATTCTCATTCACTTGCAATTCAGTATTGGGGAAGCTATTTGAAAAAGTAATTAGTTAATACTAATTACTTTTTTTTACATTGGAATAAAACACACTGGAGCAGCAATCATCATCAAATCCAATCAATCATCATATTTCCGTAAACCTTCCCTTTCAAAAAAGTTTTTAGGGAGTACCATGGTACAAAAAATGGTTCAGTTGCCAGTGTACATATAATTATATCATGGAACTAATATAAGCACACACACACACACACACACACACACACACACACACACACACACATATATATATATATATATAAACATATACACTCACCGGCCACTTTATTAGGTACACCTTACTAGCACCGGTTAAACTCATTGTCAAGAAACCAGTCTGAGATGATTCACGCTTTATGACATGGTGCGTTATCCTGCTGGAGCTATCAGAAGATCAGTACACTGTGGTCATAAAGGGATGGACATGGTCAGCAACAATACTCAGGTAGGCTGTGGTGTTAAGACGATGCTCAATTGGTACTAATGGGCCCAGAGTGTGCCAAGAAAATCTCCCCCACACCATTACACCACCACCACCAGCCTGAACTGTTGATACAAAGCAGGATGGATCCATGCTTTCATGTTGTTGATGCAAAATTCTGACCCGACCATCTGAATGTGGCAGCAGAAATGGAGACTCATCAGAGCAGGCAACGTTTCTCCAATCTTCTATTGTCCAGTTTTGGTGAGCCTGTGTGAATTGTAGCCTCAGTTTCCTGTTCTTAGCTGACAGGAGCGGCACCCGGTGTGGTCTTCTGCTGCTGTAGCCCATCCGCCTCAAGGTTGGACGTGTTGTGTGTTCAGAGATGCTCTTCTGAAGATCTAATTTGTAGCGAGTGCTTATTTGAGTTACTTTTGCCTTTCTATCAGCTGGAACCAGTCTGGCCATTCTCCTCTGACATTTGACAAGGCATTTGCGCCCACAGAACTGCCGCTCACTGGATATTGCTTCTTTTTCAAACCATTCTCTGTAAACCATAGAGATGGTTGTGTGTAAAAATCCCAGTAGATCAGCAGTTTCTGAAATACTCAGGTCAGCCTGTCTTGTACCAACAACCATGCCACGTTTAAAGTCACTTAAATCACCTTTCTTCCCCATACTGATGTTCAGTTTGAACTGCAGCAGATCATCTTGACCATTTCTACATGCCTAAATGCATTTAGTTGCAGCCATGTGATTGGCTGATTTGAAATTTGCATTAACGAGCAGTTGGACAGGTGTACCTAATAAAGTGGCCGATGAGTGTATATATATTTACCCCTGACATACATCTTGTCAAATATGTTACTATTATGTATACATGTATATTTATGAAGTCTCATTTATGCCAATATATATATATATATATATATATATACACACACAAATTACAAAATGACAACCATGACATGCATATCATGACATGTCAAATCCGAACGTGAACATCATATATAATCATTAGCATATGTCAGATTTCTACATATGTGTGTTTATATAACACTAAAGCACTTCTAAAGAGCACTGGTGGTAATACCATGGTACTTCTGTGTCATATTACCCTCACTCAGCAGCTCTCCATTACATCCTCTCAGTCCTTCTGCATTCATTTCCATCAATAACTCTTCTTCTTCTCTTCTTTTTCTCTTCCTCCCTGCGGCAGGCGAGGAGCTGCTGGGAAACGAGGGCGCCAGGTATTTGATGAAGATGGAGGACATAAAGGACCATGATGAGGATTTCCTTTCCCCCAAGAAAGTTCTAGAGTACGAGGGAGAGTTGGAGTAAATCACACTGAAGATGATTCGGATATTTACAGTAACAAACAAGAGAGAAATGGTTAAAGTAGACGGCAGCTAAATTGAGAATCATGTCTGATCATGTCAAATATAAGAGCTGAAACCGAGGAAAGGAAACTCAGTTATGATGGGAGACCATATGATGAAAAATACTACAGTCATGTATTGTACATACTAATGTTTTTGAACCATACTGGAATTAATCTGTTGTGGTAATTTAATTCTACTCATTTTTATTTTTATTTATTTTAGTGAGCTTTATTGGCATCACTTGCACAGTATTGCTAAAACATTGTCTATTACTTGACTAATGAATAAGCTACTCTATAATATAAAAATTTATTTAAGAATAGATCTGTACAATAAGTAATATAAATACATGTCTACTTTATACAAAAGCTAAATAACTAAATATTTAATACATGGTTTAAAATAATAATAAAAATAATGATGACGATAATAATGATGATAATAATGCAAATAATAATAATAATAATAATGATGATGATGAAATAATAATGATAATAATAATAATAATAATAATAATAATAATAAATAATTATAGACATACTATTATTTTCTAATGTATTTATTATTATTTTTATATTTATTATAGTATTATTTGTTATTTGTAAAACAATAATGCAAACAAGTAGATGTGTACTTTATACAAAAACTAAATAAATATATAAACATTTAAAACATTGTTTAAAATTATAATAATATGATGATAAAATAATAATAATAATAATGATAAATAATTGAATTTTTAATAGTATTATTTTCTTATATATTTATTTATTTTTACATGTATATTATTATTATAATTATTAAATATGATCTGTTAAATAACTATGTAAACATTTAGATGTGTACTTTACACAAAAACTAAATAAATATAAACATTTAAAACATTGTTAAAAATTATAATAATATGATGATAAAATAATAATAACAATAATAATAATAATAATAATAAATGATTGAATTTTTAATTCTATTATTTTCTTATATATTTGTTTATTTTTACATGTATATTATTATTATTATAATTATTAAACATGATCTGTTAAATAATTATGTAAACAATTAGATGTGTACTTTACACAAAAACTAAATAAATATAAACATTTAAAACATTGTTTAAAATTATAATAATATGATGATAAAATAATAATAATAATAATAATAAATTATTAAATTTTTAATACTATTATTTTCTTATATATTTGTTTATTTTTACATGTATATTATTATTATTATAATTATTAAACATGATCTGTTAAATAATTATGTAAACAATTAGATGTGTACTTTACACAAAAACTAAATAAATATAAACATTTAAAACATTGTTAAAAATTATAATAATATGATGATAAAATAATAATAATAATAATAATAAATTATTAAATTTTTAATACTATTATTTTCTTATATATTTGTTTATTTTTACATGTATATTATTATTATTATTATTATTATTATTATAATGATTAAATATGATCTGTTAAATAATTATGTAAACAAGTAGATGTGTACTTTGTACAATAACTAAGTAAATATTTAAGGCATCGTTTAAAATAATGATACTGATAATATTAATACATTACTAATGATAATAATAATAAAATAATAATGATAATAATTGCTATAATTAATGCTATAATTTTCTTATATATTTATTTATTATTATATTATTACATGTATAAAATTATTACAAAATATAATCTGTAAAATAATTATGTAAACAAGTAGATGTGTACTTTATAAAAAACTTGCTAAATAAATATTTAAGACATTGTTTTGAAATAATAATAATGATGATAGTAATAATAATAATAATGATAATGATGATGAACATTATTAATAGTAATAATAATAAATTAATTCAAGTTCATTGAATAGTCATCATGGTAACACAACAATAATAGCAATATACAAAATGACCCAGTACTGTAGTTTTCCACAACTATAGAGTATACTACACTGCAATACACCTGTAGTAAAAACTAAACTATACTACGGTATTTATTACAGTATACAATACAATATAGTTTACCATAGTATGGTTCAAAAATATGATAGTATTACTTATAAATTACTTTAGTGTTTTTTCAATCTTTCTGATTTCTTTGTATCAGGCTTATTTCTCTGACTTGTTTTGTTAGGAATCATTCTCCTGCTATCCCGAGGATCCCGTGTGTGTCTCCTGAGACTGTCATGCTGAAAGAGCATGAGATGGAGCAGGTAATTTTTATTTTTAAATATATTTGTTTATTTCAAGCTAAAGGCGTACTGGAGGTCTCACTTGGTGCTCTGTCAGGCTCTGAATCATTTGGATTTATTTGGATTTATTTAATGATTTTTATATATATATATATATATATATATATATATATATATATATATATATATATATATATATATATAATTAAGACATTGTTTAAGTAACTACTGCTATAATAATAATAATAATAATAATAATAAAATTATATTAACTTATTCTTTTGTTTACATAAACATTATTATTATTATTATTATTATTATTATTATTATTATTATTATTGTTAACATTAATGTTTTTGTTTTAAATATTATTTTTGATATAATTTTTATATATAATTATAAAACAATTAAATTATATGCATAATAATATGTATACTATATTTATAATTATATTATGTACAATTTAGTTGAAATTGTGCCGTTTGTATTTTATAATTGTTTATTTATTTGTAATTGTTTGAATTTAAATGTATTATCTTTGTATTCCTAAATATGTTTGGTGACCAAACTATTATTTTACTGTTTAATAAAATGAAACATTATTTAATAATAAAAAAATAATAATATAAAAAATAATTTAATATAAAAAAAGTTTATCAATCAATATTATACAAATAATGCACCAAAATATTGTCCATTTTCACTGGGAAATTAATAAAAAAAATACCATTGCATGGCAGGTTGCACATTCGCCTCACAGCAAGAAGGTCACTGATTCGAGCCTCAGCTGGGTCAGTTGGCCCTTCTGTGTGGATGTTCCCCACGTGTTAGCATAGGTTTCCTCCGGGTGTTCCGGTTTCTATGGAACAAAACCAATGCCAAACATATTGAATTAAAAAGCTTGTTGAATAGCACAAACTGAAAAAAAAATACACCGTATTAACAAGTTTATGCATTTTAATGACTTGAATTGCAGGGTTTGTATTTTTAGGTCCTGAAATTTAACACAGCTGTTTATTTAAGATGTGAATATTTCAACTAAAATATTTCAAATACATTTTCGTACTTGTAAATTCAATAATTCATACTCGATTTCCAGGTTTCACCTACAACATATTTAATACCCTTTAAAATACCATGTATAATATTCAAAAAGTACTTTTCAGTAAAAATTTAAAATATTTTTTATATTTTTGAATATTTTTAGCAATATTTTGAACACATTTACACATTAGTTTTAATAACTAATTTTAAATAACTTATTTATTTTGTCTTTGCTATGATGATTTTAACCTTTACTGTTTACATACTGTATATAGACAGACAGACAGAGCCAAATAAATAGATATTTTTTTATATGAATGTATATATATTTTTCTAATTGTTATATAAATAATAATAGTAAAGACTGAACATTTTTCATGCTCTCTTGAACATCACTTGAGAATTATTTTAATAAGAATCAAAACAATTGCAGGATGGCTAACAAGTGTGCCTTCAACTATATATAAATTAATAATTTCTTTTATGTATTGTTTAATATATTTGACGTATTATTTTGTAACTTCAAATATGTTAACATTAGTGTCATAACTCCATGTGTTTATGTACAGCAGCACACTCCACTTCCATTGCCCAAAGAGTACGACGAGGATTCTCTGATTCCCAGCAGTCCTGCAACTGAGACTTCAGACAATGTCAGTCCGGTTGCCAGTCCCATCCACACCGGGTGAGCCTCCTGACCACACCTGTGTATCTGTGACATTTTAGATTGAATAAAAAGGCTGTTTTTTAACTTACCCTCACCCTGTTCCAATCCATAATGTGAAAGCCCCAATGGGAAAGTGACCATCTCTCCCTTATTAGCATACGACGTCAGTCTTGTTGTTGAATCTGCCACTATGCTGACACATAAGCATTACTAGCTCCGCCCTCTTTTCAAAGAAGCACAAGCTTATTTAAAGTGACAGTCATCAAAAAGCCACAATCAGAATCCAAACTTTTTTGGGGCAGTTTCAAAAAGTTATAAATATTATCTGGGGATTTTTGAGCTGAAACATCACTCTAGTGTGATGATAGGTCCCCTTTAACATCTTGATGGTTGTGCAGTTTTCTGGTGAGCTTCATGGTGGATGCTCGCGGCGGCTCGATGCGCGGCAGCAGACACAACGGCCTCCGCGTCATCATTCCTCCTCGAACCTGCGCCGCTCCCACACGCATCACCTGCCGCCTGGTGAAGCCCCAGAAGCTGCCCACACCGCCGCCATTAGTGGAGGGAGAGGGTCTCGCCAGCCGCATCATCTCCCTTGGACCCGCCAGCATGCAGTTTTTAGGGTGAGTAAAACACTTCTGACAGAAGCGTTTTAAACATAATGACATTATTCTTGATGTGCAATCGGGCGAGCCCTTGGAATCTATTTAGCTGGAGACTTCTGCTGTTATTCACGTTTTTTGATTTCAGACGTTAAAAACCGCTTGTTCTGCTGCTTGATGTTGCAAACTGATATTATCTTATTATATTAATCTACTTTTTATGTACAGTCATGAACACACTTGTTTGTAGTGCAAGCAGTTTTACGGTTTTCTGCCTTTTTTTATTATTTCGAGTCATTTCTCCCATAGGCGACTGAATCAGAAGTTCCAAAACAATTGCAAAATGCAAACGCACATCCCAGAATAAGGTCAAATTAGTTTTTTTTTTTTAAATTTTTGGTCATTTTTTTCCATCTCCTTTTTGGCCTTTTTTTTTTTTTTTTTTTTTTTTTGCATTTTCAGTTTGCATTTTTAGTTTTCGGTAGCTCACCACAAATGGAGCCCAAAACAAAACCCAAAAAGCAGCAGTCTGATTGCACTGTGAAATTAAGGATGTTGACATGGCCATAAATGTTCCCAGCACCGTCTGGTGGGTTTATGAGAAATGGCACAAATGAGAAAACGTGCCCCTGGAACATATTTGAGATTGTCAAAGATGTACAGAGCGCCCTCTAGTAGATTTAAGGTGGAAAAACCTAGCAAGGAGACGGAGCCCAAAGTACGTATTTCTCGGTTCTCAAGAATGTAGCCCTGGGTACATTTTCACAATCAGCCTGGGCAAACGCCTTATCTTTCAACTCTCGTAATAATGATGCTAATAATAATAATAATAATAATAGTCTAGGGCTTGTTGAATGTAAATAAATGTCATTTTGCAAGTTCAGAAATTTTTTAATTTAGTAAAATTAGTTTTTCTGAATTTTTGAAAATTTTAAATCTTCTTTTTGGCCTTTTGTCCTGCATTTTCAGTGCATTCAGAGTTTAAGTTGTCAGCACAATTTAAATTTCGGTGCCTGCCTAATTTATTTTATTTATTTTTTAAATTTTTAAGCAAACTAACACTTTAACTCTTCTTATTGGTGAAGGCCTGTGATTGTGGAGATTCCTCATTTTGCGGCTCTCGGTCGGGGAGATCGGGAACTCGTGGTCTTGAGGAGTGAGAACGGATCGGTCTGGAAGGAACATCGTAACCGATATGGAGATGAAGTGCTAGAGACCATCCTCAACGGCATGGATGAAGGTGTGCTGTATTTATATATTTAGAAACAATCAAAAATGTTCATTTCTGTACAATATAATATCTTAAATGTCCATACGAAAATTATAATGTACAGTTGAAGTCTCTGCCTAAATTATTAGCCCCCCTGTATATTTCTGTTTAATTAAGAGAAGATTTTTTCAACACATTTCTAAACATAATAGTTTTAATAACTCATTTCTGATAACTGATTTCTTTTAACTTTGCCATGATGACAGTAAGAGAATATATATTCTTCAAGGTACCAGTATTCAGCTTAAAGTGACATTTAAAAACTTAACTAGGTTAATTAGGGAGTAGTTAGGATAATTAGGCAAGTCATTGTATAACAGTGGTTTGTTCTGTAGACAATCAAAAAAATATAGCTTAAGTGGGCGAATGATTTTGACCTTAAAATGGATTTCAAAAAAATTAAAACCGCATTCATTCTAGCCGAAATAAAACAAATAAGACTTTCGCCAGAAGAAAAAATATTATAGGAAATACTGTGAAAAATTCCTTGCTCTGTTTTAAAAAGAAAACAAAATTCAGAGGAGGGTGAATAATTCTGACTTCAACTGTAAATGTATAGTTTTCCATAGAGCCAGTGTAGCTTTCATCGTTCATGGCTTGTGTTTTCTCCACAGATCTGGAGAGTCAGGAGGAGCTCGGGAAGAAACGCATCAGACGGATCATCTCCACCGACTTCCCGCTCTACTTTGCGGTGGTGTCTCGCATCCAGCAGGAGAACGATCTGATTGGCCCAGAAGGAGGTTTTCTGTCCAGTAAACTGGTGCCGATGGTCCAGGCCACCTTTCCAGAGACAGCCGTCACCAAACGCGTGCGTCTGGGACTGCAGGTGAGATGGGAGGATGATGAGGAGGAAGAGCATGGCATGGAAAACGGAGGAAGCTTTTCTCCTGTCTATTACCATAATGACAGCTTTTAGGGGATTTTTTTGGTGTATGTGTGTGTGTGCTTGTTCATGTGGTTTATGAGGACACAAAATTACATATAGTTGAAGTCAGGATGATTCGCCCTCCTGTGATATATTTTGTCTTTCTTTAATATTCCCCAAATCATGTTTAACAATTTCAGGAATTTTTCACAGTATTTCCTATAATATTTTTTCTTCTGGAGAAATTCTTATTTGTTTTATTTCGGCTAAAATAAAAGCTGTTTTTAATAATAAAAAAACAACAAAAAACATTTTAAGGTCAATATTATTAGCCCCCTTAAGCAATATTTTTCTTCAGGAGGAAGACTAATAAATGAGGAGGGCTAATAATTCTGGCTTCAACCTAGTTGTATTCTATTAATCTGATTTATGAGGACATGACTTGTGTCCTCGTAATTCAAAACCCAATGGAGTCTCTTCACATTTATATTTTGCCACAGGTTTCCTGTAAGGGTTGGGTTTATGGCTAGAGCCATATAATAAGTGATTTTTATAGTAGAAAATACATTACGCCTTTCGAGAGTCCTCCTAAACGATGTATACAAGCAACACAGGCTCAATGGGGAAATATGCCCAGGGCTACCTTTTTGAGATCTAAGAAATATGTGCTTGTGAGTACATATGGCTGCATTTTGAGTGTAAACAAACACTATAGGGCGGTACTTACCTCCGTATGGATGGCTTCTTCATTGTGACTGGTTTGCTTGGTAGCTCACCAAAAATGGCGCCCATAAATCTGCATGGTATGGTAGAATTAAGGATGTTGAGGTGGCCAGATGTGTTCACAGCGGCCTCTGGTGGATTTACGTATTTGAGATTGTCAAAAAATGTACACGACGCCCCCTCTAGTGGATTAGCTCAGGGTACGTATTTCTTGGTTCTCAGAAATGTACCCCTGTGCACATTTTTCTAATGAGCCTGAGTTGTATACAAGTTTGTGTGTTGCCGTTTGGTCGTCAAACATGAGCAAACGCGGTATCACTTTGTTTTGATGGTCCCTTTAACACATTTTGTTGAATATAAGTTACATTGCATTTAGATGCCAAGTAATTCTCATTAGATTACAAGTAGACTGTGAAGTTGGGGTTAGGGTTAGTGTAAGTTGACATGTACTTGCAAAGTTACTAATAGTCAGTGAATTGTTTGTTGAAAGTATCAGCAGATATTAAGCAGACAGTTTACTAATACTCAAATGAGAATTAATTGGCAATGCAACTTTTAGTCAACTAAGTGTGCTATAGGAACCATCAAAAATAAACCCTTACCACAAACGCCTCATCTTTCATGTCTCGAAATTAAATAATGTCTTGGGCTCGTTGAATGTGAATGAATGTCATTTTGCAAGTTGTTCAGTGTTTGTGGAAGGAGAAATGAATGGGGAATAATGGAATAATGCATGGTGTGTTTCTGGTTTCTGCTTCGATTAAAAAAGTTTATTACAGATCAAAATATACAGATAATTATATAGATGAATATTTAGAGATAAGATGATAATGGATGGATTGTTTAGTATGGAAGGTTTTGTTTGAGGAATGTGTATGTTGATGAGAGTAAAAGAGGATCTATTTTGATGAGGACCATATTTCTGTATCACTAAGAATATTTTAAGCACCTTATATAAAACGTTTTTAGAGTTACTGTACACGCATTTTAAAATTATGTATTTAGTTGTTTTAGAAGTTTATTAGCTACACACACACACACACACACACACACACACACACACACACACACACACACACACACACACACACACATATATATATATATATATATATATATATATATATATATATATATATATATATATATATATTAGGGCTGTCAAAATTAGCATGTGATTAATTTTAAATATTTAACGCGTTTAAAAAAATAACACAAATAATGCAGTTGCAGTTTTTTATTTACTGTTGTGGCTGACATGTGTTCAGGCACGGTGCGTGCATAGAGTTGACCTAGGCGGCCGCCTTAGCCAGCAGAATAGTGAGCGAACCCCCCGGTCCTCACTTTCATCTGCTGCACCCACCCCCTCCCTCACAGTCCTCACTTTCGTCCACGAACCGGTCACTTTCGGGTTGAGGGTGGCGTGATTGCCATTTGCCTACAGTGCCAGTTCCGCTTGCTCCAGCTCTGCGTGTGTTTAACGTGCAAGAAAATTTGGGTAAGACCAAGGACGCTTTTGGAAGGAACCAAAACCAGTATAAAACCAGTATAGGAACCAGTATAGGAACCAGTATAAAACAATTAATGAGGCATCAGCAGGCTATCCTACATTTCCTCCAGAGTTTCTTGCAATTTCGGGAGTTTCATTTTCAATATTTAGATGTTAACTGCAGTTCAGCAGTTCACTCTCATTCAGCAAATTTTCATTCAGGATGTTTTAAAGGAATGTGATACCGCATGGGGAACGGAAAGAAAAACCTCAGCATTTCGCTGGTCCTTTAATATTATCAAAAATCGCTGCTTATATGGTAGACTCTTAATCAGTAATATCTTAATCATAAAAGCGGAGTATTGGTGTCAGTGTAAATGTACTGTAGTGAAAGTGCCAGATGCCAGACAGCCCATTCCTCACCTTTAAGCTGCTTCCATGAGCCCTCACATTTTACAAGTTTGAGGTGTTTCCCCACTACACGCAACTTTTGTAAAGCGTCAGTTTCACGTTGCTGTGTCAGAATCTTTACTTGTAAAATACAGCCATACTTTAGAACAGTGGTTCTCAAAGTGGAGGTCGGGACCCCCCGAGGGGTCGTGGGACAATCAAGGGGGGTCGCCTGGTGATTTCAAAAAATCAATTTTTTTTAAACCATAAGAATTACCATAGGTTATCCATAACCTACTGAAGAGAAAAAAAAAATTGTCGTCTATAGTTACTATATGCTTTATAGTTACTATATAGTTACTATAGTAGCTTATAGTTACTAGTTCTATTGGAAAGTGACCCCTGGGGTAATTACATTATATTAAAGACACAGCAATAGCGTCAGAAGCAGCAGATTGATTTTATAACACCAGGTTAAACTTTCTGGCCCATTTACAGCACTGATATACATTGAAAAAATTAAAACAAGAATAGACTTGTGTCTATTAGTGTGTGTGTGCCATTGCATTTATAACCACTGTATATATAACAACCTGAGAGGAAATGGGGGGTCGCGAGTCACTGGCATTGTCATTTTGAGGGTTGCTGGCTGAAAAGTTTGGGAACTCCTGCTTTAGAACGCTTAGTTTAAGCAAATTTGATGAACGCCATCATGCGTGTTGATGAATCAGAAGGGATCCCTTGCTCCCTGAGTGCGCTGTACTGCCCGCATTGTCTTTGTGTATGTGTGTGGGTGTGTGTGTGTTTGCAGTCCACTTAAAATCCAACATGGAAATAAGGGCACTTAAATGCCTGTGTTTTTATTTCTGTAATAAATATGGCGTTTCGAAAATTAATCATGAGTTATTACAAAAAAGTCTAATTAATTATGTTAATTCTTACAATTATTTGACAGCCCTAATATATATATATATATATATATATATATATATATATATATATATATATATATATATATATATATATATATACACACACACACACACACACATTTAAATGCAACTTTATATTTTACATTTCAGAAGCTAAAATTTATAAGGAAATATTTGTTCAGGACTCATGCATGTTTTTTATTTTATATTTTGCTCGGCAAGTGTAACAACCAGCTCATACCAAAGCTGACCTGACTTGTTTTAACCCATTATTTGTTTAATCATTTCTATCATTTGTTGTATTACTGTTTTGTTTTTGTATTTTGCTTGGTTTTTGTGTTTCTACTTTGTGAGCAGTGACCTAATAATCATCTAAACGTACTGATACATCTGATCAGTTCTCATTGTGCTGTATTATAAACAATGCATTTGTTTGAAAGCCGGAAAGGTGTGTTAAAGTGGTGCAAAATGCAGATTTTGTCACAAATACACACAGAACTGTTTTTCACACTTTCTCTCAACGTATAAAAAAGGTTTTTCCAAATTACTCTTGGAAGATCTACCGTATACATTTCAGGACACAGACCAACGTTGAGCTACAGATCTGAATTTTTTTTTTTTTTTTTACAAATGAACATTCTATTTAAAGTATATTTCATTAAAATGTGAGAAATAGGAAATGATTTGAATATATTGAATCTGACGTGATCATATTTTAACACTTTAATCAGCAATAAAGCACATCTTAATTGATAATTCATTGTAAATAAATAGCATACAGATTATAATAAATGCTCAAAGATCTTTAAAAGCTTTACAACCATACAGGGTCAAAGTTTTGTGTTTGTGTCTTTATTTTTTGCTTCAGCTTTGGTTCAATATTTGTAACACTTTTTCATTTAATAAATAAGACTGTTTTACAAGCTTAACGTGGTGTCTGGATTGCATTTGCACTGGTTATTGAGATCTCTTTCTATCCTATCGGATTTCTTTCATAAATATGAACACATTTCCCATATTTCCATTTATTCATTTCTGAATGTACAGCAGTGGTCCAAATTATTGGAACATGTCATTTTAGGAGATTTTAGTTTTTTTTTTTTTAATTGTCTTTTACTATACCCATAAAATGAATTGAATATCTACAAAGTCATCATTATGCTGTGGTAAGCGTAGAATAGACTGTAAAAGCAATTATTAAAAGTAAGTAAACCCATTGCCTTAAAAATACAAGTTTATTTTACTTTGAAAAATGTAAATATTTTTTAACTTAGTTAAGCTCACAACTTAATCTGTATAATTATGCACAATCTTAATTTATTTAATAATTTGAAGGTATTGAGTTTACTCACTTTTTCGACTAATCGCTTTTTACAGTGTAAAGCCATCATAAGCACACTGTAATTAATTGCAAGTACTTGGGTTAAAGTTGAGTTGATGCATCATGCAAAGATGAGTTGATGCATGATTATAAAAGTGTCATGACAGTCTTATGAACACCCCTTTTGAGTAGAGTTACAGGTTTTTAACAGTTAAGAAAATCTCATATTCATGATGCATGATTCAAAAAGCTGTTATGACAGTCTTATGAACATCAACCTTCAAGTAAAGTGTTACCAGTTTTTAAACAGTTCTCATATACATTTATGAAAACTCATAGTCACGATGCATGATTATACAGTAAAGGTGTTATGACAGTCTTATAAACATCTCTTTCAAGTAATTGTTACCAGCTTCTTAACAGTTATCATATGCATGCATGAAATCTCATTTTCGTTGCCTATTCATGATTATAACGGTGTTATGACAGTCTTATGAACACCTCTTTCAATCAAGTAGTGTTATCAGCTTTATAACAGTTACTATATGCATAAATAAAATCTCATATTCATGATGGATGATTCATGATTATAAAGCTGTCATGACAGCCTTATGAACATTGACTTTCGTGTAAAGTGTGACCAGCATTTTAACAGTTATTATATGCATGTATACAACTTATATTCATGATGTATTATTATAAAGGTGTCATGACAGTCTTATGAACACCCCTTTTGAGTAGAGTTAAGGGTTTTTAACAGTTAATAGAATCTCATATTCATGATGCATGATTCATAAAGCTATTATGACAGTCTTATGAACATCAACTTTCAAGTAAAGTGTTACCAGTTTTTAAACAGTTCTCATATACATTTATGAAAACTCTTATTCATGATGCATGATTATACAGTAAAGGTGTTATGATAGTCTTATAAACATCTCTTTCGAGTAAAATGTTACCAGCTTCTTAACTGTTACCATATGCATGCATGAAATCTCATATTTTTGTTGAGGATTCATGATTATAATGGTGTTATGACAGCCTTATGAACACCTCTTTCAATCAAGTAGTGTTATCAGCTTTAAAACAGTTATTATACGCATGCATATTAAAATCTCATTGTCATGATGGATGATGCATGATTATAAAGCTGTCATGACAGCCTTATGAACATTGACTTTCATGTAAAGTGTGACCAGCATTTTAACAATTATTATATGCATCCATAAAACTTATATTCATGATCCATGATTATAAAAGTGTCATGACAGTCTTATGAACACCCCTTTTGAGTAGAGTTAAGGGTTTTTAATAGTTAAGAAAATCTCATATTCATGATGCATGATTCAAAAAGCTGTTATGACAGTCTTATGAACATCAACCTTCAAGTAAAGTATTACCAGTTTTTAAACAGTTCGTATATACATTTATGAAAACTCATAGTCACGATGCATGATTATACAGTAAAGGTGTTATGACAGTCTTATAAACATCTCTTTCAAGTAATTGTTACCAGCTTCTTAACAGTTATCATATGCATGCATGAAATCTCATTTTCGTTGCCTATTCATGATTATAACGGTGTTATGACAGTCTTATGAACACCCCTTTTAATCAAGTAGTGTTATCTGCTTTATAACAGTTACTATATGCATAAATAAAATCTCATATTCATGATGGATGATGCATGATTATAAAGCTGTCATGACAGCCTTATGAACATTGACTTTCGTGTAAAGTGTGACCAGCATTTTACAGTTATTATATGCATGCATAAAACTTATATTCATGATGCATTATTATAAAGGTGTCATGACAGTCTTATGAACACCCCTTTTGAGTAGAGTTACAGGTTTTTAACAGTTAATAAAATCTCATATTCATGAAGCATGATTCATAAAGCTGTTATGACAGTCTTATGAACATCAACCTTTAAGTAAAGTGTTAACAGTTTTTAAACAGTTCGCATATACATTTATGAAAACTCCTATTCACGATGCATGATTATACAGATGTTATGACAGTCTTATAAACATCTCTTTTAAGTAAAGTGTTACCAGCTTCTTAACAGTTATCATATGCATGCATGAAATCTCATATTTTCGTTGCCTATTCATGATTATAATGGTGTTATGACAGTCTTATGAACACCTCTTTCAATCAAGTAGTGTTATCAGCTTTATAACAGTTACTATATGCATGAATAAAATCTCATATTCATGATGGATGATGCATGATTATAAAGCTGTCATGACAGTCTTATGAACATTGACTTTCGTGTAAAGTGTGACCAGCATTTTAACAGTTATTATATGCATGCATAAAACTTATATTCATGATGCATGATTATAACGTGTCATGACAGTCTTATGAACACCCCTTTCAATTAAGTAAAGTGTTACCAGCTTTATAATAGTTATCATATGCATGCATAATGCATAAAACTTATATTTATGATGCATGATTATAAAGGTGTCATAACAGTCTTATGAACACCGATTTTGAGTTGAGTATTACCATCTTTTTACCAGTTATTATATGAATGCATGAAATCTCATATTTATGTTCACAATTCATGATTATAATGGTGTTATGACAGTCTTATGAGGACCCCTTTCTATCAAGTAAAGTGTTACCAACTTTATAACAGTTATCACATGCATGCATAAAATCTCATATTCATTATGGATGATTCATGATTATAAAGATGTCATGACAGTCTTATGAACATTGACTATAGGGTAAAGTGTGACCAGCATTTTAACTGTTATCATTTGCATGCATAAAACTTATATTCATGATACATTATTATAAAGGTATTATGACAGTCTTATGAACACCCCTTTCAATCAAGTAATGTGTTACCAGCTTTATAAAAGTTATCAAATGCATGCATGAAATCTCATATTAATGATGGATGATTCATGGTTATAAAGCTGTCATTACAGTCTTATAAACATTGACCTTCTAGTAAAGTCTTACCAGCTTTAAAACAGTTATCATATGCATGCATAAAACTTATAATCATGATGCATTATTATTAAGGTGTCATAACAGTCTTATGAACACCGCTTTTGAGTTGAGTATTACCATCTTTTTACCAGTTATTGTATGCATACATTAAATCTAATATTCACTATTCATGATTATAAATGCCTCATGACAGTCTTATGAACACCACCTTTAAGATAAAAGCTCAATATTTTCAGATATGTGAGGTGTTCTGGTTATTTTGGCCACTACTGCACCATTCAATAACAATGTGGGAGTCTCTTTCCTCTCTCCTATTTTTCACCTCTTTCTGCTCTTCCTCCTGTTGGTGTTTCTGTTCTGGTGTCTCCTCCTCCTCCTCCTCGTCTTCAGGCCCAGCCGGTGCCTGATGAGCTGGTGGCCAAGCTTTTGGGGAACCAGGCCACGTTCAGTCCTGTGGTGACGGTGGAGCCTCGGCGCCGGAAGTTTCACCGTCCCATCGGCCTAAGAATCCCACTGCCACCCTCATGGAGAGAGAGCCCGCGGGACGCCGGAGAGGGAGACACCACCAGCCTGCGCCTGCTCTGCAGCGTCATCGGTACACACACACACACACAAACACACACACACACACACACACACACACACACACACACACACACACACACACACACACACACACACACACACACATATATATATATATATATATATATATATAGTTGAAGTCAGAATTATTAGCCCCCCTTTGAATTTTATTTTCTTTTTAAAATATTTTCCAAATGATATTTAACAGAGCAAGGAAATTTTCACAGTATGTCTGATAATATTTTTTCTTCTGGAGAAAGTCTTATTTGTTTTATTTCGGCCAGAATAAAAGCAGTTTTTAATTTTTTAAACGCCATTATAGGGACAATATTATTAGCCCCTTAAAGCTATAATTTTTTTCGACAAACCATTGTTATAACCTAGTTAAGCCTTTAAATGTGACTTTAAGCTGTATAGTAGTGTCTTGAAAAATATTGTTTACAGTCATCATGGTAAAGATAAAATAAATCAGTTATTAGAATTGAGTTATTAAAACTATTATGTTTAGAAATGTGTTGGAAAAAATCTTCTCTCAATTAAACAGAAATTGGGGGAAAAATAAACAGCGGTCAAATAATTCATGGAGGTTAATAATTCTGACTTCAACTGTATGTATATATACATACAGGTCACACACACACACACACACACACACACACATATATATATATATATATATATATAGAGAGAGAGAGAGAGAGAGAGAGAGAGAGAGAGAGAGAGAGATACTGTACATTTACATATTGTGAACACATGCATACATACACATACGTATATTATACATATATAAATACATACACAGACGATAAGCACTAAGAAATTGTGTGTGTGTGTGTGTGTGTGTGTGTGTGTGTGTGTGTGTGTGTGTGTGTATATTATATATATATTTTTTTTTTGCATAATAAAATTGGTAAAAAGAATTATTACAAATATTTGTAAGGTAGTAAAGTATAGAGAAATGTAAGGTAGAAATGTAAAAGTATTGCAGTGTGTCATTTTAATGTTTTAACTAAGAAAGCACATAGATTGATGAATGGATGATAGCTCAGCAGACCCCGCAGGTATTAAAATAAATAAATAAAAAATCTACTTAAGAAATAGCAGATGCGTATATGAGAACTAGACTATCGTAGAAACGTTGGGAAAGTAATAATAATAACTAGACTATAGTAGAAACGTTAGGAAAATAATAATAATAATAACAATAATAATAATAACCTGACTAATATTTATTATTTATTTTTGCATTTCCATTTGCTGCCACAAATGAGAGAAAAATGTAATTTGCATTTAAATAAATAATTCAATAAATAAATAATACTAAAAAATAATCAGTCCAAGGCATTATTCACTGCAAACATTTTAGAATCCGGTACATTAATTACCCTTTACAATTTATTCCTAAATAATAAAATTTCGACCATTTTAAACCTATAAATACTGAAACAGATTCCCAATGATCTCTTGACCTCTTTCTCTCCTTAGAAATAGAAACACGCTGTCTGATGCATATTTATTTTGATCAGATTACGCTGTACTTTTATAGGTGGAACAGCTCCTGCCCAGTGGGAAGATATAACTGGCACCACCAAACTGGCGTATTCCAATGACTGTGCCAGTTTCACCACCAACGTCTCTGCCCGGTGAGTCCCATAGCATGTTGGTTACATATTAGTATATAAATTTTTGATTATTTAGTTATTTGGGTGCCCTAACTAATCCCTGCCATGCGTCTATAATATGCACAGTTCAGATTTATTTCCTATATTAGTCAGTCAACTTTTCTACATTTTTATTTCTTAAACTAAAAAATAACAATAAATAAATGAATAATTTCATTGTGAGTGACAAAATGTAATAATTACATTACACAATATGAGAAAAATCCAACATTAAGTTAAACCAAAATTACATTGTAAAAAAAAACAGGGTTCCACACAAGTCATTCATGCTGTCCCAACACAAATCAGTTCAGTTAACATAACAAATTAAAGTGGATTGAACATGAAACAATTCAATTGCCAGAAAAAAAATCTTAAGGCTGCGGTAGCTAAGGGAACACGTGAGAAAAAAAAGGGTGCTAGACAAGTGCTTGATTGTTATGCATGATATATATCTTTGGATGGTGGGAGGAAACCGGAGAACCCAGGGAAAACCCACGCGGACACGGGGAGAATATACAAACTCCTCACAGAAACGCCTACTGGCCTGGTGGGACCAGGGCCGACAGTGTTCTTGCTGTAGGGATAACAGTGCTAACCACTGGGCCGCCGTACCAGCCGATCTATGGTAAAGGAGGAGATTGGGCAGGAAGGGGGGGTTTCTTCCAAACGAAGATGAAGTGGACTGAAGACTGTGGTTATTTATAGTAGCTTAGGGCTCATATAATTGGAAGATAGTGATTAGTTAATGCGAGACCGGCTCTGATAAATCTTAAGCACGTGATCCCCTTGAAATTAGTTTATAAATAAACCTCACACAAATGAGTTGTGTTGTGTGCTTTTCTTGTCATTTCTGTACTATAAAATTGTTATACTCTACAATTGGTCTTAAATTGTATTCGGTTTGTGGGATAATATTATTGACCTTAAAGTGTTTTTTAAAAATTAAAAACTGCTTTTATTCTTGCCAAAATAAAACCAATAAGACTTTCTCCAGAGGAAAAAATATTATAGGAAATACTGTGAAAAATTCCTTGCTCTGTTAAGTGAAGTTTATCCATAAACAAATTTCGAGAGGATCACGTGCTTATGATTGTTCGCAGCTGTTCCAACTTTAGCTAATAACTGATTATCCTATCAGACGATACTTAACTCACTATAAATAACCAGACTTTTCTCATCTCCATATCTTCGTCTCGAAGAAACCCCCCCACCCAACCCTACTTTCTCTCCTTTCAAACGGGCGTCACGGTGGCCAGTGATTAGTGCTGTTGCCTCATAGCAAGAATGCCCCTGGTTTAATTCCTTTCCAAACCAGACGGCATTTCTGTGCGGAGTTTGCTCGTTCTCCCCGTGGTCGCGTGGGTTTTCCCCGGGTCCTCCGGTTTCCTCCCACAGTTCAAAAACAAGCACTCTAAATAATTAATCAAAATACATTAGCTAACCTCTGAGTACACCTTACAGTATACATATCTGACACTTAGCTACAACAAGAGGGGGAGTCATCGAGATCTACCTGAGCTCAAACTCCCCTCTCGCCTTGCAACGGGAGGGAGCCCAGGGCTCGAGGATCTCATAAGCTCAGGGCTCTCTCCCGGGACAGCACGCCAAACTAGCTTTACTATCAATCATCAGCTAAGTGTGAACTCTGGAAACATCATTTGGGAAATATTTGGAAAAAAAATTCCCCGGAGGGCGAATAATTTTGACTTTGTGTTTGTGTGGCTCAGATTCTGGCTGGCGGACTGTCCTCGGACTGCGGAGGCCGTGTCCTTTGCCAACCTCCTGTACCGCGAGCTGTCGGCCGTGCCGTACATGGCCAAGTTTGTAGTGTTTGCGAAGATGAATGAAGCTCGCGAGGGTCGACTCCGCTGCTACTGCATGACGGATGACAAGATGGACAAAACCCTGGAGCAGCACGAGAACTTCTCGGAAGTGGCTCGCAGCAGAGACATCGAGGTCATGTGATGTTGTGTTGAATAAGTCGTATAATCAGCATGCATGCAGTGCATCCATTGTGTGCAGGAATTTATAAGTCAGTGCTATCATTTCTGCAATGTCATTTTCGCCATAAGTTTGTTCCACAGAATAAAATAATTCTAAAAAAAAAAGGTAATTGCCACTCTTTCTCTCACAGTTTCTCAAATTGCACATTCATATCTTGCAATCAGGACTGCTCAGAATTACGATTTCAAGTTTTGAGCTTGTTATTGTGATTTAAGCTGGTGTGATTTAACACATTGTGATTTAGCACTTGGATTGCAAGGGAAATGCATGCTATACATTTTATTTTGTTTTCTTTTTTCCTAAAAAAATCCACACATCTGTTAAAACTATGAAAATGTTGTGTTATGCATTGCAGGCCAGGAGTTGGATAATGTCACTCCCTACAGGCTGAAAGTATATTAGACATGCGCATGATGTCACCATTTAACACAATCATGTTTGACTATAATGGTATTATTTTCAAAGGCTTTTATTAGTAACCTGCTTTTAAAAGTTTGTGTTTTTAGGCCTCTTAAAGGGAACCTATTGTGCCCCTTTTTACAAGATGTGAAGTGAAGTTTCAGCTCAAAATACTGCACAAATTGTTTTACAACTCTTTGAAACAGCCCGTTACATGTTTTATGATGTTAAAGTGGGATGCTGTAACATTTAAGTGAGACAGGTGTAATGTGTGCGACGGATCAATAATGAGGCAAGGTTCAGTTACTCTCATTTAAAGCTTTTACTGAATAATTGAATTGAAACATGTAACAATAATAAATGGGGGAGAAAAAACAAACAAACAAACATTTACAATTATTATCTTTAAACAAGAACAACGAGTGTAAGCCAAATCAAAGAAATTAACAAAAACAAAACAATCCTTAAATCTAATGTCTAAACTAGGCGTCAAAAAGAAACACAAATAAAAACCGAGATCTTCAGTGTGTACGACACCCGAACTAAACTAATCAAACTACAAAACTCAAAAAATACACGGGTGGCAAAACACTCAAACTAATCTAACAAAACATCAATCTAAACTAAAACTAAACAAACCGGATAAGTCCGTTAAATCTTAGTTTAGAATCACACAACCATCATCATATGTTACTTAAAGCCAACAAAGTTCAACAAGCAACTCGAATTATCACAGTAACTGAGAGATCACAAAATAGACGAAGCATTTGCACAAACAAATTGCGTGGAGCACAAAGGGTACGCCGAGGCAGGGCGCACACCACACACTGGACTGACAGGGCTTTAAATACTTGCGGCTCGTCCTGGGATTGGTGGAACCGGAGAGCGTCATAATGATGATGGACAGAATAATAAACCAATAAGAAACCTAGGGTTGAGCAAACGGAGAGGAGGGTGAAAAAAAAAACAGAAAAAAAACATAAATCATAACACAGCCCCTTTAGGCTCTGATCCAAATTGTGTTTTTTTGGTGACTGTTGCTTTAAATTAAAATGAGATGCTCTTTTCAAAAGAGGGCGGAGCAACAGATCGCTGTACATCAGCATAGCAGAATATTTAAAACAGTACTAACCTTAAAGGGTCATGACACCCCTCACTCTCGGTTCAGGTCTACGTCAGATTTTTGTCAAAAGTTGCATCATAATGGGCGTGGAGCTCCACGAGCAAAGGGTGAGAGTGGGCGTGGCCTGCAGGGGAGAAGGAGGGGAGCGAACAACTGTTGTCAGTTAGCTCACAAAATGAGACACAAACCGTGAGGAGACGCATGAGTGTATAGTTTACGAAGTTAAAATGCAAAGAAATAAACAGTAATTGAATGCCCTGCGACATTTGTTATTCGTAATTTCATATATAGATAACTCCAATTTATATGATTATAAAGATAATCGTGTTTATATAAACACTAAATGAGGACTTCTCCCTCAATCCCCGAGTCTAAATGCAGGTCTAGTGCAGCAGGTCTCTTGCCTCGTCTATTTTAACCCTTAGCCCTGCTGGTAATCTAGAGGATTTCGGCAAAAACAGCAGCACGGCGATGTGTCTAAATGTGAACGAACTCCTGATAAAAGACAGCGTCCGCCATTCTCCAATTCTCGTACTGCTCTCCCGACAAAAAATGCTCGCTGCACACAAACAGCTTTGCTGTATCGGCCCTGACAGCATTGTAGGAAAAAACATGCAACAAACCCCGTGGATCATGGAAATAAAAACATACGACCCTTCATGAACGGCTAAATACTGTGTAAGTCCGCGGACGCGTTCTCACCCAGTCATCAAGGTAGGATCTCACAGCTTGGCACTGGCAGGTCTACCTTGCTTTCGGAAAGCACGCGCAGTCATGAATAATTAAGCCGGCTCTTCTCATAGGATAAGAAAACTCTGCCATGAGTAATAATGCGAACTCGACGCGTCATCTTTGCACCTGCAGTTTTGCGCTACGTCACGGATTTTGATCCGCCTCAAAAATAATTTTAAAACCGGAAGCTGAAATTAGCTGACAAAAGCTCAAATCTATCCAGTTTTCCCCACAATTAAAGCTAACAGGTGCTAACACTATCTTAACTGATGCTCAACACACACAAATCTGTTAAAATCTCAAAAAAAAAAAAAAGTACTGGAGGGTCTTTAAAGGGACTAAGCCAAAATGAAAATGAATGAAGGTGAGGGAAAGCATTTAACCAATACTCATATGCGGATCTTTCCCCAAACAAGTATAGTGAAGTAGAATTAAACTCAAACTTCATTCTCTGTTCTGGAACAAAAAGCCGACATGAATAAAATCCACAGCTACATTTGTATTTTTAATAATCTGAAAGATTTGACATTACTATGAAGGCTGAGAGAGCTCAAACCTGCTGCAAGTTAAGAAAACAAAGGCAAATACAGTAGAAAAGCATGCTCACTCTAAACAGGAATCAGCCAGGTCTATCACTTCTTGGAGTCCCCGACACATTCCGTTGTGGTTAGACCTATTTCTGTATTTGCATGTGTTTGTGTTGTCACACTGAAGGATTTCCCAATTTACTAGTGCTTTCCTACATGCATGCCTGTTTTTTTTTTTCCATTTTGCTGCCACCATACATTACAGAGTGCTCTACAAAGATTCCCATATACAACTTTGACATGTGACAATGTATGCAAATTACATATATGACATACAAGATCATTGCTGCATTTAATTTGCATACTTATACTACACCTTAAAAGTGTGTACTTTTTTTGTGAAGGAAAAGTATATACTTTTGAGTGTGTCGGAATAGTTTTGCAAGCTTTGTGACATACTTCTTACTCGTTAACAGATGATTATGATCAGTCGTATGCTTAGTTATGAGCATCAATCATCCACACCTTATTGGAGAAGCAGCAGCAAGTTAATCTTTAATTCACAAGTCATTTCATGCAGAGAAATCTCCTCAGGTCTTTGGATATTTATGCATTCAGACGTTAATGTCCAAACACGTCTTTATACAAGTTAAGTATTGCTTTTGCAGATGAAACACAAAACAGTGGTTTACACGTGGTTTAAACATGTTTTAGTTGGCTAGTTATTATTTAACAGTCATACAAACATCTTTACCGAAGCCTTTCTACTTGACAGTTGGTTTCGCGTGGCCACCATGTTTGTAGTTTATTTACACTTTTTAATCTTCATTTGTAGTTCAAATCGAATTCATGTCCAACAAGTAATGTATTGTGGGCAATATCAGCGGTTAGAGTATGGACACTTCTACACCTAAGATTTTTACCGGAAATAGTAAACCATCCGGGAACCTTTGGCATACTATTTTCAAAATACTACGATTTGGGACATACTAATTCTATTTTCGAATACTATTTAGGGTGAATGGTATGCGAATTGGGACGCAGCACATGTTTGGATTTCACATAAATTACATATATGCAACATATATTTCAAAATGTAAAAAAATAGCTATATTTTTTTAACTGTTGGAATTAGAAATATATACATTATATCAGGGGTCACCAATCTCGGTCTTGAAGGTCCGGTGCCCTGCAGGGTTTAGCTCCAACTTGCCTCAACACACCTGCCTGGGTGTTTCAAGTATACCTAGTAAGACCTTGATTAGCTTGTTCAGGTGTGTTTGATTAGGGTTGGAGCTAAAATCTGCAGGACACCGGACCTCCAGGTACAAATTTGGTGACCCCTGCTCTATATGTTCAAATTTATAAGCTATAATTATATATATATATATATATATATATATATATATATATATATATGTCAGATCAGATTTCCTTATGAGTTAATGTTTCTTATTGACTTTTAAAAGAAACTGTTAATTGCTAAACTGCAACTTTTAGATGCATCTCCTGTAAGCCTAAATCTCGCCATGTGTGTGTGTGTGTGTGTTCTGTAGGTGATGGAGGGAATGCCGCTGTATTTGGAGTGTTCAGGAAACTTGGTTCCTATAAGAAAAGCAGCCCAGCAGCCTCGCTGTTTCAGCTTCCAGGCCTTTAAAGACAACAGACTGCCTGTGTCCGTCAAGGTAAAGTAAATTGCATGCACTACAGTATTTGTATGCTCAAAAATCCTAGACTAACTTATTAGGCAATTTAAGGATTACAGGAATCTTTTGTCCAGAATTGCAATGTGAGCCTGGCTTTAGGGCAGCACGGTGGCTCAGTGGTTAGCACTGGCGCCTCACAGCAAGAAATTTGCTGGTTTGAGTCCCGGTTGGCCAGTTGGCATTTCTGTGTGGAGTTTGCATGTTCTCACCGTGTTCCTGTGGGTTTCCTCCTGGTGCTTCGATTTCCACCACAGTCCAAACACATGTGCTGTAGGTGAATTGACTGAACTAAATTCGACTTAGTGTATGAGTGTGTGTGTAAATGTGAAAGTGTGTTTCCCAGTACCGGGTTGTGGCTAGAAAGGCTGCGTAAAACGTGCTGGAATAATTGGCATTTCATTCTGCTTTGGCTACCCCTGATAAATAAGGGACTAAGCTGAATGAATGAATGAATGAATGAATGAATGAATGAATAAGTGAGCCTGGCTTTAAGAGACTTTAAATGTCTCAGCCATCGCTAGGGTTTACAGAAAATGGACCATAAAAGATACTAGTTTAGAGAATTAGTTGTGTGGGTGAAACTGGCTTGAGGTCAGAGGAGAAACCCCAGACTGGTTTAAGCAGATGGAAGAATCAATAGAACTCAAAAGAAATTTTTCGCACAATGTCTAGTTCTGTCTTCTAAGCTAAATATATGTTCACAGAGACACATTGGTTGTTGACCTCCATAGAGCATTTGTGTGGAATAAGGCATTTGCCATTTAGTATTTTTTTAAATATTAAATACCTGTATCATAATCACTCGTTTGTGCTTAATTTATCTCTATCTCAGGTGAGGGACAGCAGTAAAGACCCCTCTGGGTTTTTGTCTTTCTTGCGCAAGTCAACCAAATATGAAGACAGCCAACACGTGCTGTGCAACCTCAACGTGACCATGCCGCCGTGCATTAAGGTACTATGATCACTGTGTCCATACACATCCCGTGTGTGTGTGTGTGTGTGTGTGTGTGTGTGTGTGTGTGTGTGTGTGTGTGTGTGTGTGTGTGTGATGTGCTAGTAAGCTCTTTGTGAACCTAAAAAGTCTGCAGAATTTCAAATAATCAGAGTATCTAGAGCATCTGACTCATCAGAACAGAGTAGAGCAATCTGACCAGTCAGAGCAGAGCAGAACCCTTTGACCAATCAGAGCAGAGTACAGCAATCTGACCCAACAGAGCAGAGTAGAATAATCTAACCAATCAAAGCAGAGTAGTGCAATCTGACCAATCAGAGCAGAAGAGAGCATCTGACGCACCAGAGCAGAGTAGAGTCATCTGACCAATAAGAGCAAAGCTGACCCATATGACCAATCAGAGCAGATTAGAGCAATCTGACCAAACACCGCAAAGCAGACTCATATGACCAATCAGAACAGAATAGAATCATTTGACCAATCAGAGCAAAGCAGACCCATATGACCAATCAGAGCAGATTAGAGCAATCTGACCAATCAGAGCAAAGCAGACCCATATGACCAATCAGAGCAAAGTAGAACCATCTGATCAATCAGAGCAGAGTAGAGCAATCTGACCAATCAGAGCAAAATAGAACTGTCTGACTAATCAGAGCAAAGTAGAACCATCTGACCAATCAGAGCAGAGTAGAGCAATCTGACCAATCAGAGTAGAGTAGAGCAATCTGACCAATAAGAGCAAAGTAGAAACATTAGAGTGGAGTAGTGCAATCTGATCAATAAGAGCTGAGTACAGTCATCTGACCAATCAGAGCAAAGAAGAACCACCTGACCAATCAGAGCAGAGTAGAATCATTGGTCCAATTAGAGCAAGACTGACCCATATGACCAATCAGAGCAAAGTAGAACCATCTGACCAATCAGAGCAGAGTAATAATAATAATGTTTTTTATGATGCACCTTTCTAAGACCCAAAGCGCTACAACAACAGAATAGAGAAATCTGAACAATCAGAGCAAAGTAGAATCATCTGAACCATCAAAGCAGAGTAGAGCCAGCTGACCAATCAGAGCAGAGTAGAGCAATCTGACCAATTAGAGCAAAGTAGAGCAATCTGACAAATCAGAGCAAAGTAGAGCCACCTGACCAATCAGAGCAGAGTAAAACCATCAGAGTGGAGTAGAGCAATCTTACCAATAAAAGCTGAGTACAGTCATCTGACCAATCAGAGAAAAGAAGAACCATCTGACCCATTAGAACAGAGCAATCTGACCAATCAGATAAGTGTAGAACCATCGGAGCAGAGTAGATCAATCTGACCAATTAGAGCCGAGTAGCACCATCTGACCAACCAGAGCCGAGTAGAACCATCAGAGCGGAGTAGAGCAATCTGACCAACCAGATCAGATTAGAATTATTGGTACAATCAGAGCAGAGTAGAACCATCAGACCAGTCACAGCAGAGAAGAACCATCTGACCAATCAGAGCAGAGTAGAAACATCAGAGCGGAGTAGAGCAATCTGCCCAATCAGATCAGAGTAGAACCATCTGACCAATCAGATCATGGTAGAACCATCCGACCAATCAGATAAGTGTAGAACCATCAGAGCAGAGTAGACCAATCTGCCCAATCAGATCAGAGTAGAACCATCTGACCAATCAGAGGCGAGTAGAACCATCGGAGCAGAGAAGATCAATCTGACCAATTAAAGCAGAGTAGAACCATCTGACCAATCAGAGCCGAGTAGAGCCATCAGAGCAGAGTAGAGCAATCTGAAAAATCAGAGCAGAGTAGAACCATCAGAGCGGAGTAGAGTAATCTGACCAATCAGATCAGAGTAGACCCATCTGACCAATCAGAGCAATTTGACCAAACAGAGCAGAGCCATCTGGATAAGGATAGACATCTCCATAAGGATTAAGGATAGACATAAAAATAAAAGTATTCATATAAAATTATTTGCAAAAAAGTTGCTTTATTGGTTACAGAGACCAACCGTAAGGGTCCTGTATTGTTTATGACAATAAGAAAGCAGGTAGCAACGGATGAGAAAACTATTTAAGTTGGATATGTCCTGAGGAAAAACAAATGTTATGATTCTGATTCTGATATAAGGATAACATTAAAACAGCTCTGACCAGAAGACCTGCGAAACTAGAAACATTAAAGACATCTGTTTAACTCTGCAGTTGTCCTCTAACAGAGCGTTTCTCTTCATCTGACAGATTATGGGCAGCGATGAGCGGAGGAGGACTCTGACTCCTCTGGCTCTCAGAGAAAGATACAGCGCTCTGAATGAACCGGCAATGGGTAAGACGGCTCCCACACTGACTTCTCCTGCATGTTAAGCCCCCAAATCTCATACAACCTTTGCCTGACCCTGCTTTGAATAAGATGTGAGCTGCAGCATCAGATTTGCTGAACTCTTGAGCCAATGATGGTCTGGTTTCTGCAGCATCACTGAGCGCCATGGAAAGGACGGAGTTAAAGATGGCTTTAATAGCTGAACAGCTAGGCCTGAGCTGGGCTGGTGAGTGTGAGGGTTTGGATGCACCTTCTTTTCGCTTAACATGCTTAAACTGCCCATGTCTTGTCAACACATCTCTGGTTTCCATGTGTCTGTTGCATAGCGAATACAAAATGTTTTGACAAGTCATTCACTGTAGGATCTAAATGTCACACAGTCTAGCATGTGCAGATGAAATTTCATTCTTTGGCTTTACAACAGATCATTTTGCACAAGCTAAACTTTTTTTTCGTGCTATACGCACTGTGAAAATATCTGTAAAAAAGCAGTTTTCTGTATTTTGTGTATCATGTTTTTATTTTTTTTAGATGGATTTATACTTTTGAATTGCATTATGACACCTTGATCTTTGTTCTTACAACTTTTAACCTTGAAAAGTTTGAAAAAGTGACTTTTTTTAACATTTTTAATAGTTTAAAGCAAGGGTATTAGACTACCGGCTTGCGGTCAAAAATTAGGGTAAGGGTAATTGGGCAAATTATTATATAACGATGGTTTGTTCTGTAGACAATCGAGAAAAAAAAATAGCTTAAAGGGGCAAATTTTTACCTTAAAATGGTGTTAAAAAATGAAAAACTGCTTTTATTCTACCCGAAAAAGACTTTCTCCAGAAGAAAAAATATTATCAGACATACTGTGAAAATGTCCTTGCTCTGTTAAACATCATTTGGGAAAGGCGTGCGTTAGCGTCCCACCAGTGCTGATATACAGCCATAGCACACTGCTACGAGTGTGATATTACGTTTATACAACAGTTCGACGGCACAATCTTGTACATACAAAAAATAAAATCAAACACAGAGTCTAAAACCCTTCTGTAATAGGAACTACTTTCTTCCACCATTCATTCACATCTGCAGCTGACGTCAGTACAGCAAAAGCTGTTACTAATTCATGAACGTCACTTTAGAGCTAGTGTTTGAATGACTCTATAATGTAATGTGAAGCGTCGCTTCTGGTGTGTGACCCCCTTAAGGTGATGACAAAACAGCAAATTTTGCTCACATTTTAAGATTATAAGGCTGAACGTGACATGAAATGCCATCCCTCTACAGAGATTACTCACCAGACTGCTGTTGTGTTTGCGATAAGGAGGGACAAGGCTGAATCCAGCTTTTTATTCGCAGCTTCTTATTGACTCTATCCGGTCCACTTTAAAAACCATGAGGCTTCCGTTTTTCAGCGTTTTAATTCGCGCTCAAGAGAACACACTGAGCAAGGGCTTATTATGTGGTTCTCGTCGCCGACGAGCTGTCAGAAATTGTAAATATTTTAAAATAGGCTCTATTCTTACAAATAAACTGCATAGTTGCAATCTGAACAACTACATTATTGACTAAAAAAGCCTCAAAAGTACATTTTGTTGTCTAATAACAGTAACATTTGTCAAACTGTAGCCTGCTTTTTTTGTTTTTTCTTTGTTGTAGTTTTACAAAAAAAGAAAAATACAGAGAAGGGTAATTGCCAGTAAAGTTACTAAAGTTACCCAATCTGCTTTCTGCTCTTCTTGTGCTTTTGGTTGAGCAACAATTGAATTGGACAGAATAATAATTAATATTATTATGCCTATTATTAAATTGTGGTACTTTTATAGCAGTTTAAACTTCCCCTTTAATATGTAGAACAATAAACAAAAAGAAGGTTTGACTGCATATACTCTGGGGAAGAGTGACTGAGTGCATCAATTACATTCTACATTGTTTGTTATGCCTGAATGTTAAAGCGCCCCTCCTATGAATTTTCAGTCACTGATATGCCCCCCCACCCCTCAATTTGAGTTTGAGACCCCTGTTATAAAGTGATATATTTTCTGGGTTTTGTGCTACAAACAACTTGTTATAAGCTGCCAGCACATTTTCTGTTATTTTATTGACTTGAAAAATTATTCTCCCCCCTTTTAATTTAATAAACTTTTTTAAATATTTCCCAAATGATGTTTAACAGAGCAAGGACATTTTCACAGTATGTCTGATAATATTTTTTCATCTGGAGAAAGTCTTATTTGTTTTATTTCGGCTAGAATAAAAGCAGTTTTTAATTTTTTAAAATCATTTTAAGGACAAAATATTAGCCCCTTTAAGTAATTTTTCCCGATAGTCTACAGAATAAACCATCATTATACAATAACTTGCCTAATTACCCTAACCGGCCTAGTTAACCTAATTAACCTTGAGCCTTTAAATGTCACTTTAAGCTGTATAGAAGTGTCTTGAAGAATATCTAGTCTAATATTATTAACTGTCATCATGGCAAAGATAAAATAAAACAGCTATTAGAGATGAGTTATTAAAACCAGTATGTTTAGAAAGGTGTCAGAAAAAAAAATCTTCTTTCTGTTAAACAGAAATTGGTTAAAAAAATAAACAGGGGGCTAATAATTCAGGGGGGCTAATAATTTTGACTTCAACTGTTATATGTATTTATGTGTGTATTATATGTACTTCTTATACATTATATTATATTTCAAACTACTAAAATGTCATCAAAAGTCACTTTGTTAAACTGTAGAGTTGATATTTCAACATCAAAAGTCAACAGAGCAGAGATCAACATCCCATAATGCAATTCGCAACCATAAATAAACTTGTGAATCACAAACTGCAGAATCTATTCATCAACAGATATCTTTACAGTGTGGGGAGCCATTCATGCACCCTGATGATGGATCAAATGACAAATCAATAATCAATTAATATTTAGATTAGTAATTTGAAAGCGTTCCAGATTGTTGAAAGTCATACGATAACATTTACACTATTAATAAAGCAATCATTGGTTTTGTTTATAATACAAGTGTAGATGAGTGTATGGACAAATAGTAGCAAAATTATGAATCAATATCAGCTTTTCAGACCTAAAACTAAAGATCATATTAAATAAATTTGAATAAATGAATAAATTAGTATAACTTAAGATATAGGGTGACTCGGTGGCACAGTGGTTGGCAATGTCACCTTACAGCAAGAAGGTCGCTGGCTCAAGTCCTGGCTGGGTCAGTTGGCATTTCTATGTTGAGTTTGCATGTTCTCCCCGTGTTGGCGTGGGTTTCCTCCGGGTGCTCCGGTTTCCCCCACAGTCCAAACACATGCACTGAATAAGCTAAATTGTCCGGATAGTGTATGAGTATGTGTGTGAACGCAAGGGTGTATGGGTGTTTCCCAGTGATGGGTTGCAGCTGGGAGAAAACACACAAAATAATTAAGAAACTTAACTGAATGAATGAATGAATGAATAGTATTTTACAGGAGCTAGGGCTGATCATTTGGTCTTTAACTGTATGTTAAATTGACATTTTATACTGTATTTTATTGTTTGTTTTGTTTGTATCTCCTGCTTACACATCATTGCTTTAACATTTAAAAGCCGTAGATTTCAAATCTAATATTTTTGGAAGGAGAATCAAATTGGTAGAACAAAGTCAAATACAAATTGGTATAACACTATTGCAGAGAAAAGTCCAATTATTAGTTTTGTCCGCTTGTTTTTTTTTTTTTTTTTTTTCGACACTGATTTCCAACTCATAGTTATCTAAATGCAATTTAGGTTTGTTTACTCGTTCTTTATCCCTCAATGTATACAGCCTGTATATGATTGATTACTGATTTGTCAAATAATTGATTAGGCCAAAATTAATCACGATTAATTGCATCCAAAATAAAAGTTATTTTTGACCTAATATGTGTGTGTGCGCTGTTTATTTATTATGTATATAAAAATACACAAATATATTTGATAAAATGTTTATTTACATTTACATATAAATATTTAGATATAAGCTATATACATCATACAGGGTGGGCCATTTATATGGATACATACTGTATATACATACATGCCTTAATAAAATGGGAATGGTTGGTGATATTAGCGTCCTGTTTATGGCACATTAGTGTATGTGAGGGGGCAAACTTTTCAAAATGGGTGGTGACCATGTTGGCCATTTTAAAGTCGGCTATCTTAGATCCAACTTTAGTTTTTTCAATAGGAAGATGGTCATTTGACACATCAAACTTATTGGGAATTTCACAAGAAAAACAATGGTGTGCTTGGTTATAACGTAACTTTATTCTTTCATGAGTTATTTACAAGTTTCTGACCATCTGAGCCCATTTCAGCGCATTCACACTTCTCAAACAATCCGTGAAACAGGCCTGGGCACGATTTGGATAGCATAGTGTGAGTACGCCCGAAAGTGTATAGCGAGAGATTAGGCGTCGATTACATACATTTCTGCTGTTTCAAAGCACTGCACCGCTCCCACACACCAGTAATTAATCTAAAATACAATCGTAATTAATTGTAAAAAAGGTTTTGAACCATACTAAAGTGTATTAGCATATTTTTTACAACTATCTTTAAAGAAAACCACTGCATATTGTAGTTTAGTGTTTAACGGAGGCCAGCTGGCTGGTGCAGCCATAAGCCCCTTTCACACAGTGATACCGGTAAATATATGGAAAATTTCCGGAATGACTTTACCGGTAGATTCAAAATAGCGCTGTTCACACAGGCGAGGACGTTCCGGAATTTTTCCGGAAAAGAGCGTTCACACATCCATTCCAAACTAGCGGTAAATTCTGACATCATTACCCAGAAATGCGTTTGTGTTTGTAAACATTTGACTACATCACAAACTCTGTGGATGGATCAGTATTGTGAACAACTTCGATGAAAACATATAGAGAAACACTTTCGCATGTCGAGATGTACATGATATGTGTGTGTGCTGGCGCTCATCATGGGCACACGCAAAGCTTGAAGGTAAACAAACATTGGCTTATCATAAGCATCTTATCGATAATTATTTACACGGTTGACATTAGGATGAACATATTAACGTTATCTGACTAACCAGCCTGATCTCACGAGAAAACGTAAGTATTTTACGTTTTGCCAGTTTAGTGGCTAATTCGTACGAATTCGTACGAGTTTAGTCGTACAAAATGGTACGATTTTAAAAAGGAGGCGTGGCACCTAACCCCACCCCTAACCCCAACCGTCATTCGGGGATAAGCAAATCGTACTAAATTGTATGAATTAGATCGTACGAATTCATACGAATCAGCCACTAAATGAAAAAGTTACGAATTGCCGTGAGATTGTGTTGGACTAACATCCAGCAAGTAAATGTGTCTGGTAAAATATTCAAAGGCTTTTATTCTCATAAACCGTGCGGATGTGAATTCCCTTTAAGACCCAGCTGCGTCGCGCCAAAAGCGCATTCGCTATTTACAGGACGCAAAGTAAGTCTAAGTGGAAAAAATGAGCATTTCACAAGCAAACAGTGAACAGTTAACAGTTTTTTAACAGAACTGTTAAACAGAGCATCTACTGCGTGAGAATGAGAGATAATGGATCACTTTCACTTTCGCTCTTGGAAAGGGAAACCTTTACGCACAGACATCAATTAGCCTATAAATAAATACTTTTGTTTGTTAAGCGCAAATATTAGTTTCAAAACTATTTCTAAATTCAGTTCTAATTTCCAGCAAACGAATAAATCAACAATAATAACAAAATGTGTTCAAAAACCTGAGTTATATCCTAAAACACATGCTGTGCCCCATATGGTCTAAAACCTGACAGGTGGGCAAATCTAAGCTTGTTTTTAATAAAACAAATATAAATATGGATATAATAAATAATACTGCTAATAATAATAACATTATACAAAAGCAAATTTTTATGAATGAACTAAAAAAGCCTCCCGAGATGAAGAAGACATAAAAGTAGTGATTTTTCATATTTATGTAGGCTAGAAAATAATATGTTTTGTAATATTTTAGTCTTTTATATTTATATTCTATATCTATTCTTATTATGTCCTATATATATCCTTAATATTTACATTTTTTCATATGTAAAGATATTTATTGCTCTCTTGTGTGTATTAAGCAGTGTGTTAGCGAGGTGCAACTCTACGCCGGAGTTTAGACCGGGTTAGTTTTGGTCTAATGAAAAATCTATTATAGATTCTCAAAATAGCAACGCGCCAGCGGTCCGCCTCAGAACGCCTTCCTTTTTAGACCAGAACGCCTATGGGCGCACAAATGAGCGCTAATGCATTTGCTATTTAAACAGCGTAGCGCAACGCCTCAAAACGACTCTTGCGCCAAGCTTAAACTACCAAAAGACTACTGCGTCACGCCTTGCGCCACACTGCGCCGGGTGTATGATAGGGCCCAATGTGTTTATATTACTATTGTTGTATTTCTACATAATTGAGTTGGTCAGTTGTGAATGTTGTGACATTATTGCAACACAGTGCTTTCCCTCACTTTAACCAGAAGAGGTCCTCATCGAGCTCTAATTTAGAAAGCTTTAAGTAACAAACCTTTTTCCAACCTTTAACGAGTCGAGCGCTTCACTGGTTCAGAAAGCTTAATTTCCCCATCACTACTCATTTACGCTGAGCATTGTATACATAATATATATATAACACACGCACATATATTATATCTCAAAACAAACTTTTATTCTGGATGCCATTAATCATGATTAATGTTCGCCCAGCACTATTATTTACATAAAAGTCTTTTATTGAGTGGCACAAATTTGGTCATACTTCAACTAAACTGTGCTTAATCTAAAATCAGCCACTGGAATGAGTGATGAAGCATGTTCATTCATGCCGCGGCGTAATGTCTCCTGTCTAATTCCTGTGCAGAGTTGGGACGGGAACTGCAGTTTAATGTAGATGAAATAAATAAGATCCGTGTGGAGAATCCCAACTCCCTTTTAGAGCAGAGCTCAACGCTGCTCAACCTGTGGGCCGCCCGAGAGGGGAAGAGAGCCAAAAGTGAGTGCCCTAGCGTCCATTCACTATGATCCTTCAAGAATACCTCAATAATCTGTGTGAGCTTTTTTCATCTGTCTCATGTGACGTAACTGTATGAACATGCTGCCATATTTGTTGCTATAGAAGTACTGGCATGCTTTTAATGTGCAATGCTGTGGGGCACGACTCAATTTTATCTAACTTCATAAAGTTAGTTGCCAGGTTGTGGAATGCGAATTAGCATTGCGCAACTAGCGAGCTAGCTGTCTTGCTGTGCTTCGGGTCCTGCTGTCCTGCAGTTTCCTCCCTTTCTCTATCCTTTCATCCTCTAAACTTACAGTGGAAAAATCGTATGTGCTATCTATTTTTAAAAAGTTCAAATGAAGTATTTCTCATAAAGTAAGCCTCAGTTTTTAAATTAGCTTGAAGTTGTTATGAAATCAACATGTACTCTTATTATATTTATATGTATGTTCTTGTTGTAAACAGTGTATCATGTATTATGTAGTAAAAATTCATTTGACCCCATGAACTTTAATCAAACGCCATAACATTCCCTTCCTCCTTAAAACAACTTTCCTGGTCACATGGGATTCCATGAGGGTGGGGCTATCAGTCCTTTATGGTGGGGCTATCAGTAATTTAGGGCGGGGCAATTAGTAATTTAGGGCAGTACTATCGGTCATTTGAGGCTGGTCTATCCAACATTTAGAATGGGGCTATCAGTGCTTTAGGACATGGCTATCCGGCATTTAAGGTGGGGTTATCACTCCTTTAGCGCAGGGTTATCGGCCGTTTAGGGCTGGGCTATCTGACATTTAGGGGTGAAGCTATCAGTCCTTTAGGGTGGGGCTATCTGTCCTTTAGTGCGGTATTATAAATCATTTAGGGTGGGGCTATCAGTCTATTAGGGCGTGGCTATCTGGCATTTAAGGTGGGGTTATCACTCTTTTAGTGCAGGGTTATCGGTCGTTTAGGGCAGGGCTATCTGACATTTAGGGTGAAGCTATCAGTCCTTTAGGGTGGGGCTATCGGTCCTTTAGTGCAGTATTATAAATCATTTAGGGTGGGGCTATCAGTCTATTAGGGCGTCGCTATCTGGCATTTAAGGTGGGGTTATCACTCTTTTAGTGCGGGGTTATCGGTCGTTTAGGGCAGGGCTACCTGACATTTAGGGTGGGGCTATCAGTCCTGTAGGGTGGGGCTATCGGGCATTTAAGGTGGGGTTATCACTCTTTTAGTGCGGGGTTATCGGTTGTTTAGGGCGGAGCTACCTGACATTGAGTGTGGGGCTATCAGTTCTTTAGGGTGGGGGTATCAGTTCTTTAGGGTGGGGCTATCTGTCCTTTAGTGTGGGGTTTTGAGTAATTTAGGGTGGGGCTATCAGTCCGTAAGTGCGGGGCTGTCTGGCATTTAGGGTGGGGCTATCCAGCATTTAGGGTGGGTCCTTTAGTGTGGGGCTTTAAGTCATTTGGGGTGGGGCTATCAGTCATTTAGGGTGCATTTAAGGTGGGGTTATCACTCTTTTAGTGCGCGGTTATCAGTCGTTTAGAGCAGGGTTATCTGACATTTATTGTGGGGCTATCAGTCCTTTGGGACGGGGCTATTTGTTCTTTAGTGTAGGGTTATAAGTCATTTAGGGTGGGGCTATCCAATATTTAAGGTGAGGTTATCAGTCCTTTAGTGCGAGGTTATTGTATGTTTAGGGCGGGGCTATCTGACATTTAGGGTGGAGCTATCAGTCTTTTAGGGTGGGGCTATACGGCATTTAGGGTGGGTCTTTTAGTTCGGGGCAATCAGTCCTTTTGTGCGGGGGTTATAAGTTATTTAGGGCGCGGCTTTCCAGCCACCCTGACATTTAGGGCGGGGCTATCAGTCCTTTAGGGCAGGGCTATCTGTCCTTTAGAGTGGGGTTATAAGTCATTTAGGGTGGGGCTGTCAGTCCTTTTTTATTGCGGGGCTATCCGGCATTTATGGTGAGTCTTTTAGTGCGGAGCAATCAGTCCTTTAGTGCTGTAAGTAATTTAGGGTGGGGCTTTCAGTCCTTTAGGGGGTGGGGCTATCAGTCCTTTAGGGTGGGGCTGTCTGGCATTTAGGGTAAGGCTATCAGTCTTTTAGTGCGGGGCTATCGATCATTTAGGACATGCCTTACGGTAGGTGTTTAGTTTGTGCTCCTTCATCCATCCATTTTAACACCCGTCTTTCAACACTGCCATTTCACCCAATTATATATGTGAGTGTATGCGGAATCAGACAAAAATACGACCTCTGGAAGACAGTTGCCAGCCTCTGAAATGAGAAGCAGATTCAGAGTTATAAAAATCCACATGAGGTGTTTTTTATTTTGTGAACAATTCAAATATTAAAAGCGTAAACATTAGCTGTAATGATTGATCTTCACGCTCCTGTTGATGTCGTCAATCTGGCAACCTGCATGTGCATCCAGTTGTCATCAGAGGTGCCCGCTAAAAAAAAAAAAAGACTTTTTCTGATAATTACAATCACAATATTCTGATTATGGACTGGCAATCCAACATATTGTACCTTTAATGTCGCCTCTTATAGGGTATATGTTTTTTCCTCTACTGATAAACTTTCAGTGAAAGGTTAAACTATTTTCAGTTTCATACGGCTTGTTTTACAGCATAAATGTTGTAATGTAATTAAATTATAATCTGTTCATTAGACATAAGTTAGACATTAGACACTCATTTAGTTGTTCAAGCTTAAAATGAGATGAAAAGCTGTTTAAAATCATTTTTACTTACCCCATCAAAAAAACAATAAACAAAATCATATTAGTTATTTCTTAGCCAAGTTGTAAAAATAAGCAAACCTTAGTTGCATACAGCTTTTTGAAAACATAATTTAGAAAAATAATACTATAATAAACTAAAAAACCTTTAAATAAATGATATTTTAAGCAAGATAATAAAAATATAAAGGTATTTAAATGAGCTATTATAATATTAGTTAAATAAAGATTTTTTAGTTGGTGTTTGGATGAGTGTTGACCTAATTAAGTAGCTTTACATGGACAAATTAAAATGAAAACATATTTAAAGTGGCCTAAAATAAGGCCTAAAATATATATATATATATATATATATATATATATATATATATATATATATATATATATATATATATATGTTTTTTTAGTTTAAGACTTTTTAAGTCCCAGCAGACGGCCTGTTTAAATGATCCCTTTGTTTATTAAAAGTGAGCCAATTTAGTCTCAACATGTATTAAATTAGTACAGTTACAAGTATACAAATAGTAGTAAATAGAGTAGATGTTAATATGTTAATTAAATTCAAAATATACGTCTACATTACTCAAGTATACTCAATAAAATTAACTTGAAGTATTCATCTTTTAGATTGAGGTAAAGCTGGTTTTATATTCGTACATTCGTTCAGTGACAACTTGCGACATGCTCCCTTAATTGTTTACCATGGTACTTTAAATATACAGTCTGAAATCATAGGCAAGTATGTCTTTAAAGCAACATTAGCACTAATTAATTGACGGCGAACAATGTTTAGTCAAAATGACTGTGAAACATAGTCACTGGCTGCTAATATGATTCCAGAATTTGCAAATACTACTTTTCTGAAATGATAATATTAAGGAGAAAGTCTGAATGTGTGAATATAAAGCCAACTTTACCTCAATATTTGGTTTGATATAGTTAGTTTTGGACTGGTTTTTCCCTGATGGCGATGAATATGGTGGCTGTAAAGAAATCGGTCACGTGACTGAGACAGATTCATCCACAGTACATCTTGCTTTGATTAACAAACTGAATAGAGATTTGTGCACTTAACCCCAAATTATTGTCTTTGCTAATAGTGTCTTGAAATCCTTTGGTTTTGTCAGTGGCGTGTCTCTGTCCTCATCCTTTATGTCCAACTACCCTGTCTTCCCCTTCTCCATTTCTCCACCATCTGTGTGTCTCTCACCACTCTAGTGGACAGCCTGTACGTGGCCCTCAAGAGCATCGACCGAGTGGACATTGTGAACATGATGGAGGGCCAGGGAGGACCACCGGCGGGTCAGCAGGGGGGCTGGGAGCAGGACGCTTCTAGGTCTAGGCATCACGACCGAGACCATCTCTCACCTGGAATCACAAATGGTAAGAGAGAGACATTTGCTTTGCACTCGTCTTCACTTTATCCCACATAATCCGCTGCTGGCTCTTCCTCTCATCCAGCTGATATCTGAAGCTCAATCTTCCCTAAATCTGTCCCTCTATATGTTTGGCCGTGAATCTAACATTTCCTCTTTCGATTCCGACGTCACCAGGACCAGACCTGAAGACACCCCTCCAGAATTATGTTGATATTCTCTTGTAGACTGTCTGAATTGGAAACGTTTTCAAAAATTTTATAAAATATCCTCTCGTTCCCATGTAAACTGGGTATTTTTTTTAGACATTTAGTACAATAAAAAAAAATTATTCACTTTATTTGCTGATTTTTCCTAAGGTAAGTGGTTTCTATGGTCTGATATTAAGTGAACAAATGTTCAGTAATGTTTACATTCAATAAATGTTTAGTAATGTTTAACCTAATTTGTTTGCTTAAATTCAGCCCATATTAATTGTTTTGCAACCACTTACCTTAATCTAATAATTTTCTAATTTTCAGTGTGCACTTATAGAAATCTGATACTGTAGTGTAACATATATATATATATATATTGAATTTTACATATACAAAATGTCTCATATATGCAACATATATTTTGAAATATTGCAAAAATGGCTTACAAATATGTTTATTTCAACTAATGGAAATACAAACATGTACAAATATATTAGCTATAAATAAGCAATATCACACGAGTGGCAGTGCAATATGGCTGTAAATCGGCACTGGTGGGAAGCAAGCTTGCGGCATCGAGTCAACCCATGCTTTCCACCAGTAAGGGATGCAACGATTATAGTTTTTGGTTGTATAGTCTGAGGACTAATCACGGTTTTACGGTTATTATGCATAAAACTACTAGTTTCTAAAATCACATGAAAACTCCTTATATTTTAAAGTGTTATTTATTGCTGCTCAGTAACCAAATAATACTGTACAACACAAAATAATAATAATGCGCAAACAATAGTCCATTTCTCCTTGGACTTAAAAATAAGTGAGATAAGTTTCTGACGTTTAAACAAGTAATAATTTTATACTGAAAATACATTTTAAAAATAAACGAATAAATAAACAAACAAAAAAAACAAATAATAAATAAACAAATAAAAAACATATAATTAATAAATAAACAAATAAATTAATAACATATAAATAAAAATATATAAATAAATAAATAATAAATAAACAAATAAATAACAATAAATAATTAATAAATAAAGAAATAAAAATAATAAATAAACAAATAATCACATAAAAAATAAAAATACATAAATCAATAAGTAATAAATAAATTAATAATAAACAAATAAAAAACAAATGAATAATTAATAAATAAATAAATAATAAATAAATAAACAAATAATAAATAAATAAATAAACATTATTTGTCTAATGTAAATCTATTAAAAGTATTTTCTCAAGTAAATGTAAGTATTTCTCTTTTAAAGAGAACAAATGTAGTTAAAGCGCTGCTAGATGTCTGTCTAAAACGCACTTTAGAGCAACCATATTACAAAAATGTTCGGTATTATTATTTTGTATTTTTTCTTTTTTGGATGCGAGCAGAAATGTGTATAAAAATCCCAATATGCGAACACAAGCCGTGCGCCTCCATTGGAAGCGAATTTGCGCATGCAAAAGATGCAAAATGTGACTGGACCTTAACTTTGTTTAATTGCAGCAGTTTTGTTTCGTGTCACGGTGTTGAGAAGCCTTTACAACTAATAAACATTGACGAATTAAACCGCGGTTAATAGTGAAATTGGTTAATCGTTGCATCCCTACCACCAGTGATGATATACAGCCATATCGCACTGCAACGAGTGTGATATTAGGTTTGTACAACAGTTTGACGACACAATCGTGTATATAAAAAAGAAAATCAAACTCTGAGAGTCTCAAAAACTCTTTTGTACAAGGAACTACTTTCTTCCGCTACTTATTCATATCTGCAGCAGACGCCAGAACAGCAAAAGCCATTGCTCATTCACAAAAGTCACTTTAGAGCTGGTATTTCAATGATTCTCTTGCGTAATGTCTAAAATGATGACAAAACAGGTGATTATTGCTCACATTTTAAGATTATATGGCTTAATGGCATGAAATGCCATCAGTCTAGAGATATCCCAGTATTTCTCTGTTGCAATTTCACAATAATGAACAGCAAAAAAGCAAACACTACCAGATTACTATGGTATAAATACAGCACTACATACAGTACAAAATACAAAAGAGAGAGATTGACTTAGAATGTCACTAACCTAATTTATAATGATTTGTTCAGCTGTAGTTTAAAACTTACCTGAGAAAATGCTGTTTTTCTCCCCTGAGGACTGATTATGCGGTCTCTGTTGCCATCTTGTGACGGAACGTCAACCGTCCCTTTCTTTGGTCTGTTCAGACAGGCTAATGGCAGCCGATGAACTGAATCCGATGCTCTGAAATGATAAATATTTTAAAATAAGCACTATCCTTATAAATAAACTGTAAAGTTGCAATCTAAACAACTACATTCTTGACTAAAAAAGCCTCAAAAGTACATTTTGTTGTCCAACAACTGCAATATTTGTCAAACTGTAGAGTATCCTCTACTTGTTGCTCTATGTAGGCGGAATAATACAAAAGTGAAGAGGCTATACGAGTGCTCTTATTTGCAGAATATTGCACGACTATCAGCCAATCAGATTCAAGAATTGTTCTTGTATGGCTATATATGAACATGAACTCACACTATGTATATATATTTTTGCCATGATGATAGTACATAATATTTTACTATTTTACTAGATACTTTTCAAGACACTTCTATGCAGCTTAAAGTGAGATTTAAAGGCTTATCTAGGCTAATTAGGTTAACTAGACAGGTTAGGGTAATTAGGCAAGTTACTGTATAACGATGGTTTGTTCTGTAGATTATCGATAAAAATATGTAGCTCTAAGGGGCTAATAATTTTGACCTTAAAATGGATTTTAAAAATTAAAAACTGCTTTTATTCTAGCCAAAATAAAACAAATAAGACTTTCCCCAGAAAAAAAATATTATCAGACATACTGTAAAAATTTCTTTGCTCTGTTAAACATCATTTGGGAAATATATATATATATATATATATATATATATATATATATATATATATATATATATATATATATATATATATATATATATCCCTGTGTGTGTAATTAGCAGTGTGTATGCACATATATAGGTGCATGGCACTTAGGCTTTAAATAACAAAATAAAATAAATCCCTGCATCAATGACTTTATGCCAGCTTTGGTCAATGGTACGTTCTATTTTAGTTGCTTCAAAATAGCAATGTGCCAACAAAGCACATTCTTGTCTGACCAGCACACTAATGGATGCACAAATGAAAATGATAACTGCACCAGACTGAAATTAACAATAAATAAATAAAATTAAAAAACCCATATTACCAATTATATGATAGAGCCCTTAGTCGTATGCTTTATTCATTTGAAGTGTGTATGGTGAGGACATCACACTGCTGCTCTGCATTTCTACTCCTAAAACAGACCCTGACCCTTGTTGAATGTATTTTAAACAAGCTATGGCCATCATTTCTCTTTTGAAATATTTTAGAAATACCACTTCCATCTGGATCCAAGACTTGTTTGATCACACTCAGTTTCCATTCCCTGTAAACTGTAAAAAAAAAAAGAAAAGAAATGCTTTCAGAGAGTGTGTTCACACCCTATGTAGAGAGAGCAGCCAGACTTCATTGTGAGACTTTGAGCATGCTCAGCATGCAGTGTGTAAATGTGCAGCACCATGGTGGCCTCTAGTGGTGGATCAGCAATTAAGTCTGAGTCCTGCACTGTGAATGTGCAATATTGGGACAAATATTGAGGAATCTCCTACACAAAGGGAGCAGCAACTCTGCATTTTGATCCAGTTTATGAATTTTAGCGATCTGAGATGTTTTTTAAAGGGATAATTCACCCAAATTTATGCAGTACTTACCCACCCTCCAGTAAATTCATCAATTCATTTTGTAATGCATTTTCTCAGCTAACTTCTGTACGTCTTCTAGACTCAGAATTATCCCTCTGTGAAATTTTTTTCTTAATTAAATATTTCCCAAATTATGTTTAACAGAGCAAGGAATTTTTCACAGTGTTTCCTATAATATTTGTCTTCTGAAGAAACTCTTATTGGTTTAATTTAGGCTAGAATAAAAGCATTTTTTAATTTTTTAAAATCATTTTAAGGTCAACATTTTCAGCCTTCTTAAGCAATATTTGTTTTTGATTGTCTCCAGAACAAATGGTCATTATACAATGACTTGCATAATTACCCTAGTTGAGCCTTTAAATGTCACTTTAAGCTGAATACTAGTATCTTGAAAGATATCTAGTCAAATAATATGTCCTGTCATCATGGCAAAGATAAAAGAAATCAGTTATTAGAAATGAGTTATTAAACAGTCTCACTTTATTTTGATGGTCCTTTTGTTGAACTGAATTTACATTGCATCTACATGCCAGCTAATACTTATTAGATCATAAGTAGATTGTTAGATTGGGGTTAGGGTTAGTGTGAGTTGACATGTACTTGCAAAGTTTCTTATAGTCAGTTAAATGTCTGGTTAGAAGCAGTATCAGCAGATATTAAGCAAACAGTCTACTACTGTAATACTCAAACGGACCATCAAAATAAAATGTTACCATTAAAACTATTACATTTAGAAATGTTTAACCTTTCTGGTAAACGGAGGGAAAAATATACAGGGGAGCTATTAATTTTGACGTCAGTACATCAATGTTACATGGCCTGCTGCCAGAGCTTGTGTAACATGTTTAATTGGAATATTCCAAACCCTTGATCACTTGAAATGTGTTAGTTGATTATTTGTTATTTGTTTTCTTGCTATTGTTTTATGCATTATTCTATAGTTCTAATAGTCTTTTTTTTTACTGTGACAAAGCAAAACGACAATAAAGCAGACAAGTATTTTGTATT